AAATATAAATAAGAATAAAATTTTGTTTTTGTGGATAAAAGTAGATATTTCTAAACCATTCACATATTTTGATAATAAATTTAAATTATATTTTCAAAATAAAAAAGTATATGTTTAAATATATTAAATATTAGTTTAAATATTAGTTTTATAATTTGAATCCATAAAAAAGAAAGGAAGAAGGAGAGAGGGGATAATACAAACCTTCATGCCTGGCTCGGTTTCTTGCAAAGGTCGACAGTACACCGGAACTGGAACAGGGGGTTGTCTGACGGGAGCGCTTGGCTTTCCCGGTAAGCTCCATCCGTAAGCTTGCAGACGACCGTCCTCCTTCTTGACGTGCGCTCGCACCTGACGATACTGCTCCCTTCGTTCGTTCGCGCGTCTCGCTACGAGCTTTTCGGATGATCTGCAAAGACGATACGAATCGTACTCTTAATTATTCGCGAGTTTCAAAGGGAGGAAAAGAAAGGGGAGAAGATTATCGAAACTTTTCCCCCGAATTCTTAGCAAACTGTGCGACTGTTTGGCTGTATAATCCGATATCTTCGACTATCCATTTCACATACATATCTCTTCCATACATATTTCCTCCGACCGTTTGATTCCTTCATCTTCACAGCCAACAGTATATTCATTAGCGCATAAAGGTATGTATTGTTATAAGTATAGATCTATGAATATATCTATCATATATACTTCTTAGATTCTGACGTTGAAGCGGAAGTAGTTAGAAGTAGTTAGCGGAACAGATTTACCTGCTGACCAATAAGCACCCCACCCGAAGCCAGAAAAACCAGGTATCTCTTGATAACGCCACGAGGAGAGGCAAGGACGAAACCCGAACAACAAAAAGACCAAAAGCGCAGTAACAAGAGTGAAATAAAGGCCAAGTTTATAACGTAATCAAAACTTCATTTATTTCTGTCGATCAATAATGATCGCATATTATTATTATTTCTTCAAAAATTGTACAAACTTGTATTTACAAAGTTATGTCTTTTCTTTGTTCAAACATTACTATGAGAAAAGTTGATGATCTATCTAATGGCATAATTAGTGCAAAGTTCTTGCACTCTTATGAGCAATGTATACATCATGGTATAATATATCATGCTAAAATTTGATAAGACTTGATTTAACGGATTCTTGATAAGGGATTTAATTGTAAAAATAAAGTTATATTAATTAAAAAAAGAACAAGAAGAGAAGGAATAATCTTGATGTCTTGTAAAACGATACACTATTTCAATTTCGATAATACGATTAAAATTTAATAAAAATCTAGATGCTTGTTAAAGAGAGTCAAATTGATTACAAAATTAAGCAAACATTGGTTAATACATGTATTGCAATGCGCGCACAAATCTCGTCAGTTAACAGGATAAATTATTCAGAAAAGACTCACGTCTCTTTAGTGCAATTGAGACTAATACCGTGAATCGTGACATGATTACGGATCCCAACTGACCAAAGAGGATTCTAATCTGCAAAGATGAGCAATTCAGAAAATTATATATACAAAGTTCTTTTCGTTTTAATAAATTCTGCCCCGTGTGAATTATAAAATGGTATTACCTTTTTTTCTGCACTTGTCATTACAATTTTGACGATAAGAAAATATCGGTGTAAAAAATTACGCGTTAACTCATGTTGTAAAACTCTCACATTCGCGAGAAATACTCCTGGGGGGGAGGGAAAAAAAAAAACCCAGAAAGATGATCGGAAAAAAAAAGAAGTAGGACATAAAATGTGTGAAAAAGAAAACGAGAACCTATATGATAACGAACTAATAGATAAAAATCAGGCAGATCTCGATGCATCACGTCGATGTATAATATATATCTATCTACGTGCATGTGTATAAAATTTGATTGATTTCTCACATGGTGTCTCCTTGGTCGAGAAAATCTTGACGACTTTTCAACGTACGTCTACGCATGGCATCCAAGGGCGGCGCCGGAACGACCTGATTCGCCGGCGCGCTGTACCGCACGTGCGGTAACGTATGCGCGGAACGCACCAACGTCCCTCGATCGGCTGGGCCTGTGAAGAGATTGCTAAAACTGGAATGGAAATGATGCGCGAATTAATCGCTTTTCCCTCCTCGCTTTCTTTCTTCAGTTCAACAAATACGTTATTAAATGTACGTACAACTTCCATACGGAACCTCCCTTCCCACCCGAGATGCTAGAAGGGACGGTTTTGCTGGCTCTTATCATTTCCGTCCACCTGACAGCGTCTTGAAGTTCGATAAAACGTTCCTTGTACTGATTCCGTTCCATGAGCACCCTCGCCATCTCCACTCGCGTGAACCGCTTTCTCTGGGACAGAGGCACGTCCTCCTCGTCATCGCTCTTAGTTGCTTTAGCTGCCGCCTCCGCTTCCTCCTTGGCCTTCTTCAGTTCTTCCTCGAGGGCGGCGATTCGTTGCCGCAATCGTTCCCGCGCCTGCTGTAAGCCTCGAACCTCCTCTCGCAATATCTCTTGCTCGCTGAGAAAAAAATATGTTAAAGTTTTTAATAATATATCTAAAAATTATATCGAGATATTGCAATAAAATATATTTAACTTACCTCGTCAATTCGTCCACTTTAACAATTAGGTCATCTTTGACGACATTAAGTGCGTTCCTATAAAAAAATATTTAATGTTGGACTACTTCGATATATAGAAATTATATTACTGTGTATTAGTAATAAAGCGCTTACTTTGTCGCTAGCAGTTCATTGTTCTCCATAATAAGATTTTCCACTTCCTTCCCCATACCTGTAAAAAAAAGAACTGATAAATGTACTATAAAACAATAAGTTCAGAAATTAGAAGAAACGTTTTGCAATAAACAATATGTACCATAATTGTATTTATCAACTTTTATCAATAATTGATTATCATATGGGAAGCTCGTTTAAGAATAATTGTCTCATTCACACATTTGATGTTAATAAAAAATGTATGTCATATAAAAAAGTATTATTACTAGCGTATATCTTACCAAAGAAGTTGTCATTGACTGCACGATAAGTTAGTGTCATGCGATCGCGCGCGTTGCAAGTGTGACACGAGCCAGCATAGGACGCAGAGGCAAATGAAACACAAATACAAGTTGAGGGAATTGTTAGAAATTGTTAACTTGAAAAATGGGTGAGTGAATGAATGAATATATATATATACATATGAGTTTGTTCAGAATGCGTATATAATGAATGTGCGTACCTGATGAAGCATATTCACCAGGATGTACCAAGCTTCCTAAAATGAAACGAGTGTATCGGTTTAATTTTACAAGAAACAAACTTTGAGATGCGAGTATATTCCTATAATATGCGCGAGAATGTAATACCGGTAATGTCCGCGCCCTCATCCATCTCGCCTAGAGCATCAGCGTCCTGGAAACTTAATTCCTGATACAATGTATTGCCGCTTCGTTGCTCCCTTTCGGTTCTGCTTCTACCTCCCGGCGTAGTCGCCAGCTTCTCCGTGCCGGCGGTCGGTGTCGTTGGTGTCATCAAAGTTGGGGGCACCTCCGTTTCTGGACTTTCATCTGCGGAAACGTACACTCTTAGAACTTTGAGTTGTCAAGCGAAGGAGCATCTTTCGCAACAAAATATCTTATCAAACATACACAACATACGTCTAGATATAGCCGTAGTCTTGTTCTCTTGCACCGGTTGATCGGTCAGCTGGCTCTTATCGGACGTTTCGATAGCGGCTTCGCTACTACTGTCCAACATCTCGGTTCTTAAATTGGCGGCGTTCGGTACGATATCCTCGTGAACATCCTCGGCGTTCATGCTAGCCTCCAGGCTCTGAAAACCGTAGCTGAGTGGCCCGGAGCTGCGCGACATATGAGCGAGACCGAGAGAGGGTAATCGCGATGGCGCACGACTTGTAGATACGTTCTCCAATCTTTCCGTGCTACCGACCAGCATTTTCGTCCTCTCCATGTAATCGACATGGGTCTTGAACAATTCCGTATATCTGTCGTGTAGCCGGGAATATTCGCGTTTCAGTTCAGCTTCTTTCTCCTCAAGCCGGCCAACTGTAAATAAATGCCAGTAAATGTAATGCATATGCGAGGCAATTTTTTAAACAGATACAAAACATATTTCATGTTTTCAAAAACGAATAGGGAACAACTGACGTAAGCAACAAATTCGATAAGCAACAGAATCTTTAACTTGAACGATAACATCACTTATTTTGAATAGAGAGCAAGCATTCATAATGGATATTACAAAAGAGATATATAACTATTTATTGTGAAGTGTCAAATAATGATAGAATCATAAATAATCACATATGAAATAATGTAAAAAAGTGAAGAAATAATGCAAATAAGGAGAAAATGATAAAAACAAAATAAATTTATATCCCATATTTTTCGCACACCTCTTACTATACAGTGCATACAAGAATACGCACATATATAAAAATACATAACATAAAACAAAAAAAAAACAAAACCCAAAAAAAAAAAAAAAAAAAAAAAAAAAAAAAAAAAAAAAAAAAAAGGAAAATGAAATCTTCTACTCTACTGTAGAAAGAAGAACTGTGAATGGGTAGACTGGAAGCGCCAATGGCATTTGTACCGTGATCGTGGGAGTTCTTAGTCTTCAGTTCCAGCATTCTTACAATAGATTCCAAGCTATCAATCTTCGATAAAAGCTCCTTTCTCTCATCCTCGGATATATCTTCTAGTTCGAGAAGTTTCTGAGATAAACGTATTCATAGTCGCATTATTATTTCGAACAGCATAAATTTGTAGATTCTAAAGATTATTTAATAAAAAAAAGGATTACCTGATCTGACGCCTTTCTCAATTGTTTCTCCCTTTCATACTGCGTGACGAGCTGCTCGTTGTCCTCCCTCAATAACTCTAATTCTACTTCCCGCTCTTGATTCTCGGTATAAGATATATCCAGGCATTCTAACACATTGACTAGCAGGGGCATCAAGTCTTTCACTACATCCTCATCGTATCTTGCTATCATCTTCTCGAACTCTTGATAGATGCTGCCTGCCAGAGACTGCACCTTCTCCGACATGACAACATGACTATCCTCATGCGTGCCGTAGACCGTTTCTTGATCCATCTTGACCAGTGTTTTATGTATGTATATCTATATACCTGGATAGAAGTAACACGGAGAGATATATAGGGTGCTTTCAGATTAAATGGCCAAATTTAAAATATGAATTTAGGATCTTAAGACATAAATAATTTTCCTCTGGAAATATACTCGCAAATGTGTTTTGTTCAAGAGATATTGACTTCTTAAGTTACAGAACTACAGAAATGAATAATGTCAAAATGTCTTTTTTTGTTTTGGAGATGAAAGGTCATTAACAGGCTTGTATTCGCACTGTAAACAAAACTAAAACAAAATTAATAATCATTAAAACGGAGGATAGTGCAAGCGTGCAAAAAAATTATAGACGCGCAATGTCAGTCAGCCACTCATTCTCTCATCGATAGGTGCAATGCTTGTCTCTAGGCTGAAGGCCATCATTTTGAACAAAACATTTAATAATTAAATTTTGATTATTGTAAAGCAATAAAAAAAATAAACCTAGATTATTTTGACATTATTCATTCCTATATTATTCATTCCTTCTGTAACTTAAGAAGTCAATATCTCTTGAACGAAGCGTTTGCGAGCGTACTTCCAAAGGAAAATTATTTTTGTTTTGAATATATATATATATGTATGTATGTATTAAATTACTTAACTCCAAAAAATTATAGAAATGTAGATAGAACATGATTTAAATATTTTTTCCCCAAAAAATCTTACTCTGGTCAATCAAGGGCAATAAAAAATAGGAAAACCGCGATGACGTTCGCGCTACTCAACTCTTTGGACTCGGTACAGTTACGTTGCACACTTTTTCACAGCCAGTTGAAGAAACGAAGGAATCCCGCTCTCGCTAACGAGACGTCGACCTTAAAGAGCGCCGAGCAGCGCACATGTCTGGCGGCGAACTGTCAACGCGTCAATCGTAGCACCGTCCATCCGTCTATCTCGATCGACGTACATCAGACGCATAACTGCTTATAACCTCGAGCGCTCTTGAACGATCGTTCAAGGTTCACACGGGGACGCTAGATATTGGTAATAATATCGTTTCGCTGGGCGAGTGTCGCGAACGAACGACGATGTCTCATCTCATCGTTTCTATTGTATTTTATCTCAGAGCGTTGTCGTTCTCTCTGCGTTGCACATCGAAGGAAGAATTCGTCATCGTCGTCACCCTCGTGTCACTCGTGACGTTTCGCAACCACCAACCGTCGAACCATCGCGAGATCGCTTCTCTTTTTTTTTTCTTCTTTCCAACTTCTTGCGAGCGCGACAGTCGCGGGATTAAAGTCTATCTACCTCGGCACTCTTTCTCTCTCTGTCTTTTGGACGTGGCGTTCACCTGGCAAATGTCAATTTGTGACAGTTCTTACATCGCGCGGATTCTCGCCATTTTCCGTCGGCCACCTGCTGTCCCACGGATACATATGTTCGAAAAATAGATCCGCAACATATCTCCGTCCGTAATGATATCGCCTACTCTTTCTCGGTTCACTTCCGTCTTCCGTCAAATGGTAATAGTAATATTTATAATATATATTTATATTATATTATTAAATATTCTCTATTTTTTATCTAATACTATTCAAAACTACAGTCTATAAATACGCGATTTTATATGCGAGAGACGAGCATATCGTACATTTATTTATAATCGCGATGTACATGATACAATACATCAAAAAGTTGATTGATAAAAAAAAGTGTGTGTTTTAGACCACATACAAATATCATTGATATAATATCAAGATTACATCCGACATAAGTATTACGTTTACGCTAGCTTTACTCATGTAACCTTAATATATATATACAGGATATATCGTGTAAGAATCATGATACAAACGAAATATGCGGATATGATTCCTCGTGCAAATGTAAAATCGAAAATGCGTAATGAAATTTTTCCATACGAGGAATTTTGAAAATAATTTTCTTGAAGACGGTCTTATATGAAAAAACTTTATTCTACATTTTCGATTAACATTTGTACGAGAAATCACATTCTGTGTCTACTACGATTTATACCCTGGATACACCCTGTATAGTCTATAAATACATATAACACTATAGCATAATAGATAGTGATAACGATCAATATACTGTAATAATATCAATGCCGTAAAATATTAATTAATAGCGGCCACGAAATCCTCCTCCGCCGCCGATGCCGCGGCCGCTCCAATTTCCTCTGCGACCACGTGGAACGTATCCTCTATTGTTGTAGCCTCCTCTGTTGTATCCTCCATAACCGCTGTTGTTACTCCCGAAACCATCACCACCACTCCTACCATAACCATCGCTGTTCGTGAATGATGCTCCGCGGTAACCACCGTTTCCGCGCATTATTTTCGAAGGAGTACAGGAGTGATTGGAGTGAAAACCGGTCATATGTTCCCTTGGTGGACGACGCGATTGAAAACTGCCCCCGGTAATCTGTTCCAATTCGTGACGACAAGCGTTCATGCTGCATAATGACTTAATCACGCTCAGCACCTAATGAGACGAGAAGTAATTTTTTTTTATCTTGGCACACTATCGTCAAAAGATAATACTAGATATTAGAAATACTAGATGTATATTTTTATAGATATTATTTTTCAAGATATAATATAGAAGAGATGTTATATTATTATTATTATTATTATTATTATTATTATTCCCAATTTCGATTCTCATATACCTTCTCTTCGGTGGGGCTCAATTCCAAAATTGTTTCCGGATCTTTAGATGCTCTGACCACGAGACTCTCCAATGCGGGCCGTAGAGCGACTATGGCCGCTGCATGTTGCGGATTCATGTCCAAATTGATCCAATTGTCTAGCCTAATCACGCCGTCCACGTATTCCACTTTCCGGGATCCGAACAGCAACAGATGGATGGGCGATACCATGGACATTTGCTTGCAAGACACAGCTCTTGTACGAATCTGAAGGGAAAAGAAGATAAAAAGGGGGATTACAGAGGACATTCAACGAGGAGACAGACGCACATCGGGAAAATCGAATTTATCCTTACTTTCTCGCCGAATACGAAGAACGGGAACGGAAAGTTTTGCTCAAAGTTGCTGCAGTTCACCGATGTCTTGTGAATCAGCGCAGCTTTCGATTCCGTGGTAAGAACTTTCCGCTTCTCCTTGTGGAAGCACACATTTGGGTAAAGGCCCATGCATAACAGCGCGGTGATAGTATCGAGACGCGGGTCCGAGACAGCTTGATAGTTCAACGGGGTCGGGCACAGAGTCTCCTCGGGAAAGCCGGCGCTTTGCAGCAGCGCTTGTAGTTGATTCTATGCGTAACAAGAAATATAAACAAAGTCACATCGATACGATAATAGAAATACAATGCAACCGCGATTCCACCGACCTTAGCCTCCCATGTTATTCGTAAAGTTGGCATACTCAAGTTCTTCGACTCGCAAAAGGCCTGTTCCGCCCATTCACCGTTGGTTCTCGCCTCTTCCCAGGCTTGAAAAGCGTGAAACATAGCGACGTGGTCGCTGTATCGTGCACCGGCGAACCACTTTTGCTGAGCGGTCAGTCTTCTCATGTCCGGACCCATGTTGTACACCTCCGGGAAGGTGGTGCTGTTCGCGGCCATCGTCGAGAGCGCGTCACCCACGCGAAACATACAGCCCAGAATCATCATTTTTCCTAGTCGCGGTTCTATCGGTAAACGGGCCAGTATCTTGCCGAGAGGCGTTAATTCGTCGTTCTTGTCCAAGCATTTCATTTCTGTAATTGAGACATTTATAAAGAAAGTGATTCTCTAGGGATTGGGAAAGAGGATGAAAGTGTATAAAAAGCGGATACCTCTTAATACGACTTCCGCTTCGATCACGGCATCGATAGGAGGCGGCTCGATTGCCTTCGACAGGAATTGGCCAATATTGCCTAATCTCAACAGTTTGATGCTCAATGCCAGCTCGTGCAGAGGCGTCCTGAACATTTCCGGTGTCATGTGCTCGTCCATCTTATTAAATCGGGCTCTTGAGCACAAGTGGAAACAGAAGCCGGGCTTAACGCGACCCGCTCTACCCTTGCGTTGTTCCAGATTCGTTTTACTGGCCCAAACGGTCGCATAATTGGTCATATTATTGTGAGACGTGAACAACTTCATTTTGGCCTTGCAAGAGTCTATGACGTAAACGACGTCGTTGATTGTAATCGAAGTTTCGGCAATGTTCGTAGATAAGATGATCTTCGTCACGGAAAGTGGTACGGGATCAAAGACCTTGCGCTGATCTTCTCTCGGTAATTGCGAATGTAGCGGGATAATGAGATAGGACGATCCGCCAAAGACGAGATGTTGCTGGAAGTGTTTCATCAATGCGAATATCAAGTTCCAACCAGGTAGAAAAATCAATACAGCACCTGGGATGTTCTGTCCCTTGATATACGTAAGTATCGCTTCTATTAGCTCAAAACTTATCTCCTTCTCCGTCAACTGCGCCATAGCGTTCTTCGTTTCGACAGAATAGTCATTACCGATAACCTTATTCAGATTTTCCTCCGGCTCTCCATCCGCCGTCGGTAAGTCGTCCGAGTCCCTAGATTTACGTTTCCCGGAAGCTGTCGGCGGAACAAAATGTGTCAGTTGTATACAATCCTCCAAGAAGTATTGCTGCACGGGATACGCTCTGCCAGGAACTTCCACCACGGGACAATTGTTGAAGTACTCGCTGAACAGCGTTGTGTCGATCGTAGCTGACATAAGAATGATCCGGAGATCGGGATAGAGATGGATCATGTCTCTGAGCACGACCATGATGAAATCCGAGTTGACATCTCGTTCATGGATCTCGTCGACGATAACGTGCGACACGCCTCTGAGACCGCCCTCGAGTTTCCTCAAGAGTACGCCGACGGTGCAAAACATCACACTGGCGTAAGGTCTCGGCAAACACGATTCGAATCTTACGGAATATCCGATCGATTGTCCCAGGGTCTCGCATCTCTCGATGGCAACTCGATCGGCCACGGATACGGCCGAGATTCTTCTCGGTTGAGTGACAACTATGCTGCAATAAGCACCCTGGCCGGACGCGATGTAATCGTCCAGAATGAATTGACAAACTTGCGTGGTCTTACCGCATCCCGTATTACCGCGTATAATGATGATCGGATTTTCGTTAATGGCATTCATAATCTCGTTTTTCTTGGCGAACACGGGCAGATTGGATCTTTCCTTGATGCTCGCCTGCAAACTGGGATCTTGTTGTAACTTGTCGCGCTGCTCGTTCATCAGATCTTCCGACAGTTGATCCAGAGATGTTGAAGCCAACGGCCCCTCGTCAATATTGCATCCGGTCCATGGATTCCAATTTGGCTGAGGTGGCGACCAGCTTACGACACCGGCTGGTTGCGGTACAGAAGATATAAAGTCGTCCAGAACTTGATTCGTCAGTAAAGACACACCGTTAATTGATGCGTTATTTTCTTCTTTTACTATAGGTGGCTGTATTATATGAATAAACATTTCATTTTTTATTATAAATCTAATCTAAAATGCTTTAACACACACACGTGCAAGCATATCAATATACACAATTTATTTGATATGTGTATGTATGTTATTCTTGCAGTATATGTTAGATTGATAATAATAATTAGTACCTCTTTAACATCGATTGGTTTTATATCCAAATTCATTAGGATATCCTGGATCTGACTTTCCAGTTCTGGTGAAATTTTGACAGGGTAGGGTTTCATCTGTTCAGCATCTTTATTCTTTTTTAATGTACCACTAAATGGTTCAATAACACCTAAATGATACAGTTGACGAACAATAGACAAAGCACAGCTTTTAGATGCTGTTTGTTTATTTGATCCAGTTTCACGACCAGTTATACCTGAAACATGTTGAAACATTAGACAATTTTAATGTAAGGAGATAAAAATTAACAAATAATAATTAACATACTTCGTCCAAGTTGTTTTACATAAATTGACATCTCTGCCATAAAACTCCTGCCGAAAAGATAATTCTTATTATAAATATTATAAACTATGTGTGTTATGTAACAATAATGTATCATCAATGCATTTAATAATTAAGGGAACAAGCATGAAAAAAAACATCAAATAACATACAATTGAATAAAATGAATATTTTTAACAAGATGCTTCAAATAATTCAGCATGACAATCAAAATTCTACAAATAAAAAATACTTGGAATAAATTAAGAAATATAAATTTGCAAATTTTGTTTATTGTAAAACTATATATTTGAAGTTAATATATATTTTTATCGATAATTTTTCATAGAATTCATTACAGCATTTGTAATGTAAAATATTCAATTAATTCACTTCTTGCAAAATAAAAATCTATTTCAAAGTTTATTGTTTATTCCACTTATTCCCTCAATTAATTGCAAAGAATAACAATGACTTACCATTTGAAGATATTACAGACGACCACATTGGAGTACATTGAAAAGTTTCTTTATTTAGTCGCACCAAAACCATTATTAAATCAGTTTAATAAAAGTTTTGGTTTAATGCCATCGTCATCTGTGTACAAGAGAGTCAATAATTACTCTCTTGCACCAGCTTTAGATGTGAGCAAACAATATACTCCAAAATGGCCTTATTAAAGTTCAAATGGTACAACAATCGGCAAGCGATTGTTTAGAAAATAGTAAATCACGAAATCTTTGAAAGTGCGACAGTCCATGATCCAACATATCCATGCGTGCATTGAAGCTGGTAGAGGACATTTTGAGCATTTGTTGTGAATTGCGAGTAGATAAACAATTAAACTGAAAATGAAATATATTTTTTATTTTTATAATTTATTTATTATTAGTTTATATTAAAACGGATAATTATTATTTTTGATAGTATGCGTGTGAAAACATTTTACTACATTTTAACGAGAGATATCTTATAAAAAAAAGTTATAATTACGTCAGTCGTTTTACGTTAGTCAACTTGCAAAAAAAGTATCGCAGAAAATATTTTTTTTGTCCTACTCCATTTTTCTATTTTAGCTAAATCTTTGTAATTACTTTTACTTAATTTTTTACAAACATACAGATTATACATATATATATATATATATATGTATAAATTGAACAATCACTGCATCATAACGCCAATCCAATGTGCTAGAAAATGACTCCGTCTCCATACCTCGTATGATCAGGACCGACCGGGGTATACTTGTAATCGGCATTTATTTTGTTAGTTTGCATGAACTGATGGAGCTTGGATTTGGCGTTTTCTATCGTCCAATTTCCGTGTATTCCGGAGTTTACATCAACGTCCTCAGCATCTTCCACTCTCTTTTGATCGGCCAATCTATCCATGTACGTATAATTATTCTGGCCGTGCTCGTTGTAAGGCCTGTATGCCTGACCGATGTCATTCGGGCCCATGCCACCTTGGAACACCGATTTCACCGGCGTCGAGATTTCCGGTTTGAAACCGTGATCCGGCGTCATCGTGCCCGGCAGCGTTGCGTTGTCCCTCGGCACGTCGTTCGAATTTACACGGTCCGTACGTACTAAGTAATTGACGTAATCTTTGGCGGCGTTTCCCTGCGCATCTTTCTTGTTGGTCGAGTTTCCCGCACCGACATAGTCGAACCCGGGTACTCGCAATTCGCAGAGGAAGCGTTGCCTGTGCTTCGGACCTGCGGAAAATACAAAATGTATATTACATGTACAGTCTTTCAATAAAATCGAAGAAGCAATCTAGTATACGAATGCTGCTGATAACATTTAGTTTATATTAAAACGAATAATTATATTTTTTAATAGTGTGTGTATGAATATATTTTACTATATTTTAACGAGAGAGAGATATTGTAAAAAGTATTATCTATACTGGCTGATTCAGAAATACTTGTACAAACTTTGGGACTGAGTTCTCCATACATAAAGAAGAAAAAAATGTCATATACACATATGTCCAGTAATGCCTAATTTATGAGTTATAATCAATCGAAAGATTACATTCAATTAACTATAATGACTTGATTTAAATCCATTATATTTTTATCTGTGGAGACACTTAAAAGCTCTAGTTTATGCAACTGAAATTGCAAATGAAGAGACGCTTCACCAACATATGGTAGATGCCTGTGAAACCATTCGCAACTGTCACGAAATCTTTGAAAGTGCGACAGTCCATGATCCAACATATCCATGCGTGCATTGAAGCTGGTAGAGGACATTTTGAGCATTTGTTGTGAATTGCGAGTAGATAAACAATTAAACTGAAAATGTATTACATTGGTCATGTGTCATTTAAGATATATTCTGTCAGTTTTTGTCATTGAAATCTTTCGATTACAACTCATAAACCAGGTATTTCCAGATATATGTTTATATGACATTTTTTTCTTGTTCATATGTGGAAAACTCGTCTCCAGAGTTTGTACAAGTATTTCTGAATCACCCTGTATAAAGTTATAATTATAGTCGCCTTGTAGTAAAGTATCGTAAAACAATATTTTTTTGTCCCATTCAATTTTTCCTTACCTGTTTGTCTAACATCAAATTGTGGTTCTTTACCATTCTTCGCACACCACTGGTGGAAGAAAGATTTTATGTCTCCCATTTTTTGACTTCCTATCTCTTTTTCAAGAGTCAATTATGTAACGAGTGATTTGTTATATAGGATGCAAAAGAATTATAAACAAGCAAATCGCCCTTATATTTCCATCTCGCAGTTAGTGTTAAACAGTGTTAAATCGTATGGCGTTCTAAACTAAATCTCGATCCAACCTAATGATTCAGCCTTTCCTCAAATCTTGCATTAAACTCTAGAGGGCGCCATAAATTTTATCTACAATCGATATTTCATCACGAGAAAAAGTATAATTTCATTAAAAATATATATTGTATATTTTTTTTCTTTTATTTCTAAACTAATAACTATTTATCTTAATTGTCGTTATCTTAATGCGATAAATAATATCGGGTAACAGCTGATTTCTCATTAGAATACAAATCTTTTGTAATCCAATAGAAAATTTGGTGGAATTATATTTTTAAATACGATATATTATATTTGATATGTTCAAAGATAAAAATTAAAGCGCAGTTTTATATATTCCGAAAAAATATTATACATGCGTAAAGAAAGCTTGCAACCTGTTTTTTTCATATAGAGTGTGTACAAAAATTATCCTATTTAAATCTTAAAACTTTCACAGAGAAAAACGTTTATACACTGACTTATTTGACATATGCAATAATACTAAACTTTTAATCTACACTTCACTACTAGCTGCATATAAAGATTGCATCAAGCTACACTCCTGTTCAGTGGAAGAAAAGTATCATGAGAAAGTAAAGTACTTTTTTGTTAAATCTAGCAATATAACAAAAAAATTATAATTAAGTTAAGTTATTGATTGCATACGGTAGGTTACATCAAAAACAATTCTTGCGTTTGTTCCAACGTCATCAAGCAATGATGTATATCGAATCTCGCGCGTTTGTACTGTTACCACATACGATAGAAACCTATCGAAAGCAAAAATCTTGAAACATTTGTGTAAGACTTTGTTAAATTAATGCTTGCAAAATCGTTCTCGCAGATAAGAACATTAATTTCACCGTTATATATTATTAAAAATTTCTCATCTCGTTCTCGCTTAAAAGATGAAGGGCAAATTACTCGGAGCCGTCGCTAACTTGGGTGTATTATTGATTCTAGGACTGTGCGGTGCTTTGCGGGCGGAACCACGTGCGACCGGCGTCGTGGCCGCGGAGAGATTCTTCCTCAACGGTTTCATGGGCGTTCGTACTATCGGTGTCTTGTTAAAATTGACTTTATTGGAATTTCTCAATATCTGCTCCGGCAGCATCGAGCTGTGCAATTCCTCCCTGTCCGTCATGTGGCCCTGGAATTGATTATACGTAGTATCTATGATGCTGTTAACGGGCGACAACGATTCCTTTCTGTTCTGCCCGCCTTTGGAGGATCGGTGCGTCTTCTGAACAACGATTTTCGGAATTCCTCTGCTTCTTCTGATCTTGGATCCGCTGACAGTAGGTTTATTTTTGTCGCCGTTTTTATTTCTGCGCTTTATCGACGTGTTAGGGGACGGACTGAACAATTTGCGCTTCGAAAGCGGGGTAGGACCTCGGTGAACGCTGAGATGGGATATACCCGGCGTCTTTTTCGAACTGTTCAAGGGCGACTTCTTGATAGATTTGTCCTTTGCCTCCTTCCTCGCCTTCTTCATCGTCTCCTTCTCATGATTAATATTCTCCCAAGTTTCCGCTAAAACACTTTCCAACGACATGCCGTAAATAGTGAACATTTGGTTGTGCTTGCTTTCATATTCGTTTACCAATCGCTGTAATTCCGTCTCTATTTTGGGTAATTTCTTTTGTATCACCTTGCGCTCTTTCTCCTCCATCAACAATTGTCCGCCGCGATTGTGATAGCGATCCGGATTATTTGCACGCTGAAGCAATTCCTTTATCTTCATTATAAGGTTCTCGCGCTGCTCCAGAAGCTCAAATATCGTTCGATTATCGTTATAAAATTTGCGCAGTCTTTCCACTTCTAACTCGTGTAATGTCAACAGATCCTCCGTAAATGTATTAGAATGAAATGGCGCAAACATATTCCTTTCTGCTTCGCAATATTTGCATAAATCCCACAAGTTCATCAATTCTAATCTGATCTGCGTGACATATTTGAATATGTTTTCCTTCCTGCTCTCCTTACAACGTTTGATCTCCACATTGAGAGCGTTTATAGTGCCAGTGCTGTAATCGGAATATTTGTCGAGGAACAATTGACAAACGTCAGCAGGCTCATCGAGATATTTCCATAGCGCTAACAAATCTTCCTTCATTTTCTCGACACGGCATTTCGTCTCTTCTACTTGCGTTTTCAATTCATCCCTAAATTCTCTCAATTTTGCCATATTATTCGCACTGAGCACGAACTCTTCGGGATTCTCGCAGATTAATTGTTGAAATGGCGAAGATGGGGATATGTCCAAGTCGTCCATCATCTTAATTATAGAACGACGTATATCTGTAAAAACATTCTCCAAACGTATCTTCTCATTGTCTTGTTTTTGCAGATATAATTTAAAACTCTCGAGTTCCTGCTCGGTGGGCAGAACATCCGTGGTAATATTTAACTTCTTGACACCGAGCTTCTGGCAAATATCGTATTCTTTCGCCAACAATTCTGTCAGAATCATCAAACGTTCCTTCTTCATGTGTTCCAGATCTTGCATCTCACTTCGAAGCATCTGTTCCACTTTACTCAAAGGGATCTGATCGTAGCTTTTGGGCTCCATGTCGAGATGCAGCTCCGTATACAGTACTGTTGTCCGCTTCAATAGGTCCTTTATACTCTCCAGCAATAGCTGCTTCTTTGTCTGCGACTCGGCCACCATCTCGTTCAACAGATCCTTTATGTGATTGTGCGCCTGCTCGTAATACATCTCCCGCGTTTCTCTGGTGCAACCTATGTCTTCCCAAGTCTTCTGCAGCTCGTCGAGCGCTTGCTCAAGCTCCACGACCATTTTTTGCACGACTGGCCTCCACTCGTGTTGATCGTCCATTGTATTCCGACGTTATTATCCTCTCTGTGGAAAGGAATAACATTGTCAATTGAAAAGACCAACGCATAGCTGTCGTAAATCGGATGCGTACCTTAATTCTTGCAAAGTATCAACTTCTTATTGCACGAGGAAAATCCGTACATATCACTGTCGTCACAAAACGACTCCAGTAAACACATGCCGTTACTTTTTTGAATTTAAACCGTCAATGGGCTGCCTCGATAGTGGCGTCGTTGTCGCCGAGACGGCAGAACCGCAGAACCTGAACGCACCGTCGATGATAAAACATATAGATCGCAACCACCGACAGGGTTGGGCATAGACATAGTATATCTAGACCGAGTGTTGAGGAGTGGGGGCCAAGGTACATACTCTGTTCCATGCTCCTTGCGTTCTCTCTCACTCGCATGTAGCATAGCGAAAGAGTACGCTATGCTACGTGCGAGCGAGAGAGAACGCAAGGGGCACGAAACAGAGTATGTCCTTTTCTACGTGCATCTTTACCCCCACTCCTCAACACTCGGTCTAAATATACTATGTATATGGTTCAGTGTCTACTTCCGTTGCGGTTGCGGTCTTGGTCGAGTACTGTCGTGTTCAGACACGTTACGCGTGTGTCCTTTGGACCTTATTTTTGAATTCTATTCTTCTTTTCTAAAGAGGAATTCTTTCTGTAGCATCCTATCAGTAACTCTCATCTAAATAAAATTTCTGATACTAACCCACAACTTGATCTCTACAACATTAGCGCTATTTATATTCATCGACTTGGCCGTGTGGGCCTGTGTATCTCAGGCCCGGTGCCAGAGAGAAGCCTGAGAGAGGCAATGCCGGCGATTTTCGTGGGACGCTTTTTCTAGGCCGTAGAGCAGCGCCGTGCATCCACTTTTAGGAATTGGAAACACTTACCCACATCCACTTTTCGGTACTGTCGGTCAAATCTCCATATGGTTCATGTCCGTGCTACATCCACTTTTCGATACTGTCGGTCATTTTGGTTCATGTCTATGCTAATACATCCACTTTTTGCAATAAATTGCCAAGTCTAAGAAGTGCCCGTATCTCTTACACGTTGTATATTAGTTCACTCTATTAGCTATTATTCTACTAATATTATTTATCATTGTGCAATTTTGAAACATATGTAACATTTCTATATACTATTGGTATATATCTGTACATATGCGCATAAGTAAACATAAAATTTATAAAAAGTGGGCGCCCATTAGTCTTGTTGCATTACTGCTTTCTGCCACGAGAGGCCAGAAAGCATTGTCGCTCCTTGTCTAGATTTATCTCTCAACGATCGCATCCGTGTGCTCAACGTATCGGTGTTTGTGCCTTCACAGATACTACACACATACGCGATGAAAGAGAGACAAAGACGGCGCGATCATCTCTCTTTGTCAAGCGCTCAGTGTACTACCACTATCGAAAAGATCGAAAAGTGGATGTAGCACGGATATGAACCAAATGACCGACAGTATCGAAAAGTGGATGTAGCACGGACATGAACCATATGGAGATTTGACCGACAGTACCGAAATGTGAATGTGGGTAAGTGTTTCCAATTCCTAAAAGTGGATGCACGGCGCTGCTCTACGGCCTAGAAAAAGCGTCCCACGAAAATCGCCGGCATTGCCTCTCTCAGGCTTCTCTCTGCCGGTGCCATTCACAAGAAGAAGAAGAAGAAGAAGATTTCAGTGTCTAGAATAGAGAATAGCGAGAGGTTGGAAATTAAACAAATATTTTTATCAACTGGCGTATAGACAAATTATTTATTGAAGCCTAATCAGCCATATAAAAGAAGAAGAAGAAACAAATATTTTTTGTTCGATCCATTGAATAAAGAGTAAAGGAAGAAGCATTTGCCGGATTTTTGAGAGTAGGTGATGCCAACTATATCGGCCTGTACTACAAGAGATGGTAATAAATATTTTGAATTATATTTTTAATATTATTTTAAATTACATAAATATATGTATGGACATTGTGTATGTATACAGGGTGATTCAAAAATACTTCAACAAACTTTGGGAGTGACTTCTCCACACAAAAACAAGAAAAAAATGTCATATAAACATATATCTGGAAATGCCTGTGTTTATGAGTTATAATCGAAAGATTTCAACGAAAACTGAATATATCTACAATGACACATGACCAATGTAATACATTTTTAGTTCAATTATTTATCTACTCTCACAATTTATAACAAATATTCAAAATATTCTCCACCTGCTTTAATGCATGCATGGACACATCGAATCATGGACTGTTGCATCCTTTCAAAGATCCTATGACAGTAGCAAATGTTTTAATTTTACAGGCATATATGAGGCATTGTGGTGAAGCATCTCTTTATTTGCGATTTCAGTTGCATAAACTAGGGCTTTAAAGTGTCCCCATAGATAAAAATTTAATGAATTTAAGTCAGGCCATGGTACTGAATTGAATGTGATTTTTTGATTATAACTCATAAATCAGGCATTTCCGGACATGTGTTTATATGAAATTTTTTTACATTTTTTGTGTGGCGAATTCACCCCCAAAGTTTGTTGAAGTATTTCTGAGTCACCCTGTATATATAATATAAATTTCATATACGATTAATTATTCTATATTCTAGGATGTCCAGAAACATTCGGTACATACATTAGTATTTCGTTCTTTAAAAAGAACTCATGACATGTTTCTATCTAATCAAGGAACTTTACCACCAGTGGATCCCGTTTTGTAAGTCCACAGTTGCTACAAATTACTCATCAATCCGTTTATATCAAGCATAATTTCCCTTTCTTTTTTTTCAGACAACAAATAAAGAAGGCTATTAAAGCGAAAGACAGTTACGGTCCAGTGTTGGAACGTGTTAAGCAAAATAATATAACCAAAGCGCAGCAAGATAACATTGCAGATCCTCCACCACCAGGAGGTAGTATAATATAATCGAGATAAAAAATTTCTTTTGCTATGTATATAATTATATTCATTTTTGTAAATATACTTTTAGATGAAACTTTTGAAGTTAACATGACTTCGGCAGTTGTTCCTTACAATATAACACAGGCAAACACAGGAGTAGTTGCAACAGTAACAGGCGGAGGAGGTAACGCAAGTAGCAGTGCGCTAATGGCGCCCCAGAAGAAAACACCTTCAATGGCTAAACCTAAGTGGCATCCGCCTTGGAAATTATATAGAGTCATTAGCGGACACCTTGGATGGGTGCGATGTTGCGCTGTCGAACCTGGAAATGAATGGTTCGCAACCGGTTCAGCTGATAGAGTGATCAAAGTGGGTATCCGATTTTGAAATATTTTAATCTATTGACGTTTCTCTCGGAACATAGGAAATTAGCAGAGGTAATAATTCACACATAATTTTTTTGAAATTAGATATGGGACCTCTCAAGCGGAAAACTGAAAGTTTCCTTAACTGGCCATATAAGCAGCGTGCGCGGTCTTGCCTTTTCTCAAAGGCATCCTTACCTGTTTTCCTGCGGCGAGGACCGGCAAGTGAAGTGCTGGGACCTGGAATATAACAAGGTAATCAGGCATTATCACGGACATCTGTCGGCCGTATATTCTATGGCGTTGCATCCCACCGTGGACGTTCTTGTAACAGCGGGACGAGATTCTACGGGAAGAGTATGGGACATGCGTACGAAGGCAAATGTCCATACACTGGTTGGACATACCAACACAGTTGCTAGCGTGATTTGTCAATCCGCTGAACC